CAAGCAACAGATCTCAATTTATGGTCTCGGAAACTTGACTGATAGTTGCTGAATTTTCTGGAAAGTTTTGGTTCAATTCTGACAGCTGAAACTCAAACGGCAGGTTTGATCCTCAAAACACTTGAATCATCCAAATCTTCCTTCATGATAGTTATAGCACTCTCTTTGAGCTTCGTAAGTTCATTTCAAACAGAGATTCTAAGTTCAAGTTATGAGACCTTCAAAGTGGACCATTTACCAGTGATTGGCACAAGGCATATTTGGCACTTTTCGTTGGTTTTTCTCCATGTTTATGTTATTTTGCCACTCTACAATGATAAATCACAAAGTATAAGAAAATGTTCCCTTACGGAAATTAAAACCGTCCAGATGAGTCTAAATATGAGTAAATAAGGTGTGAAATGACATATAAATACATGTATATTTGATTCACATCACCCATTTGATCGGCCGGGGAATGTGCTTATGGATAGATTCTCTTTAGTGAAATTCACGGTCCTGCCATCATCATTACGAGTCATTGTATTCATTTCTGTGCTCAGATGAGGCTCAAAATAATGTGAGAAAAACATTGAAGTTTCTTCCACCAAATAAGCATTACAAATTGTGCTTTCGACTCTTGTTTTGTTGGTCACTTTCATTTTCAATTTCCGCAAGAATCTAAGTCACGTAATAAAATTAATATTTACATGAAAACCTTAGAGAGAATAAAAAATTAATAAAAATTAAAAAATTAGAACTAACCTTTCAAATGGATACATCCAATGATATTGAACGGGTTACCCTATTTTAATATGGTAAATGAATTGGAAGATTTTCCATGGAGTCAAAGAAACTTGGTGAAAACATTCGCTCCAACTTGCATAAAATAATGGGAACTTCCCTTTGAAACCTAAGCATATCTTCTTCTTTTATCTTTGTACTTGTGAGATCTCTAAAGAACAAGCTCAACTCAGTCAAAGTTTTCCAAACATTGGTAGGCAACATTTCTCAAAGCAATGGGGATTAGTCTTTGCATAAATACATGGCAATCATGACTTTTCATCCCAACTTGTACTTGTTCAAGTACACACATCTACCCATATTTCAAATATACCAATCGGAGAATTTGGGTTGTGTCACCCATTCACGAACTACTTTCTTCTCCGCTTTGCCCAATGAATAGCAAGCCTTTGGATACTTGCCGGTTGCTTCATGTTTTTCCAACTCTTTACGCCTACAATAAATTTCAATATCCTCTTGCTTAAGCATTATCTTTACTTTTTCCTTCAATGTCCATCACCGTCTCAAACACATTCTCAAAAACGTTCTTCTCAATGTGCATGACATGAAGATTATGCGGATGAGGTTAGTACTCCAATATGACAAGTCCCAAAATATACTCTTCATCTTCCAACCACAAGACTTGTATATGGGAGCATTCCACATTTCTCCATCAACTTCGGTAATTTTTTTTTTAATCCCACAACTGAAATTTGTCTTCAAACATCTTCACCCGTCAATGTCGGAGGAGTAGAGACTCCTCGGTCCTATTTTTCTTGAAATTATTTTTATTTCTTCTAAAAGGATGATTCTCCGGCAAAAATTGGCGATGAAAATCAAACTAAGGCTGAGAAATCACCATTAGTCCACAAAAGTCCGGATCTCATATGAAAGTTATTTTTGGTAGAAACCTCATATGTAGCAAAACCTTCCCAAAGAGCTAATAATTTGGCAATCAGAGGTTGCAAATAAACATCTATCTTTTGCTTTGGATTTTTCGGTTCCGACACAATAATAGTTAAAAATATATAATCCTCTTTCATACACATCCATGGTAGCAAATTGTATGGAGTAACAATCATTGACCAAATGGTTGAAACTCGTTCGTGCATAAATTGAGTCTCACATTTCTCGATTCCAATGCAAAACAATTATTTATTGCATCAAAATGTTTCCATGCCTCATCATCCGAAGGATGACGCATAACACCTTGTTAATCATGGTCTTTATGCCACCGCATGTGTTTTGCGATGACTTCAGAAGCATACAACTTTGCAAGCATGATTTTATACGTCTTTTCAGTTTTTCTTCACTTAGCACCTTCTGTTCGTGGTTTATATCTAACATGGCGACAAAATGTGCAATTTATGAGGACTATATTCTCACCCCAAAATAACATGCATCTATTGACACAACAACGAATTTTCTCACACGGTAAACCCAAATCGGAAGCCAGTTTCTTTGTTTCATAAAAGTTATCGACCAATTTATTTTCGGGAGGAATTGAATCCTTGAATAACTCCAAGATTTCATCATAGGCCTTCTCCGACAACCCGTGTTGTGACTTAATATTCAACAATCTAGCAACATGTGACAATTGCGAGACTTTTGAACATCCCGGATATAGGAGTTCATCGGTCTTTTGGAACATGTCATAAAATCTTTGAGTTTTTGGGTCGGGAAGTTCTTCATTACCACCACTTTCCCCAAAATATGGATCAAAGCTAGGACCAATCACATCTATGACAATGTCACCTTATACATTAGTCTATCACTGTTGAGTTTCGTGTTGAAACCATGACCAAAACCTCCTTAAAGCCTTTTTGATATTTATAATTGATTAGGATTTGGATTATGCCCCTCTAATATCGAGCACAACACCAAGTGTTTTTAAAACCTATATTTTACTTGGAGGGCAGTCACACCCGAATTAATAAACCCAATTTTCATACCAAATGTAAGCAGGAAAACTTCTGCTTTTTTATTTTTTTGTTATTTCAGAGCAGGGGCGAAACCAGCATAGTGCTCGGGGGGTCAAACAGACCCCCCCGCGACCGGAATACCCTTAAGATCTCCTATGGCTGGAGTTGAATCTGGTTCCGTCTCTTCCTTCTAGTCCCCCCTCCCCCCGATTTTCGAAAGAAATTGACTTCAGAAGTGGCGTAGAAGGAGTTGTATAATAAAAAGGATAGAGGGAAGGTACGCATCAAAATTTTTCAGGTGGGTATCGGCGGAGTTACAACGGCCTTCAAATGAAGGGGAAGAAGAGGACGGAGTAAATTTTATTAATATTGCTAATTCGGTGTATGTAGTTTTGGATATCATTAGCTGAACCCCAATTTACTTCAAAAATTAAATTTAAGGATTTATTTACATCCCCTATAGTTCGTATAAATTATAATTATCCTTTATCCAACTCCTTATTCCATCTTTCAGAATTCACAAAACCTTAAAATACAATTTAAAATGTTTTAAGACACAAATTTGTTACCAAAAAATATTTAAAGATGTACCCAAAAAATTATTTTTAAATCGAGCCCCCTCCCCCCGAATCCTCAAGCTTGGTTCCGCCACTGATTCAGAATGTTCAGAACTTTTTGGTGTTAAACATCTTTCACAGACACATAATGCAGTTAAACACAACAAATTCACCTGTAATACTTTAGTCTTGTAAAGCATAGAGCTCCAAACAAGAATCAAAGATTTGAAAAACCTCAAATTAAATTGTAACAATCAATCGGTGAAAGTAGAAAATGCCAACAAAGTCAATCCCAAATATTCATCACAACTGACCAGCTATAAGCAATGAGCATAAAGGATAGTAATTCATAGTTTCGAGATTCCTTGATGTTTCTCAGAATCAAGTTGATGACCAAGTCAAAACTTAAAAAAATAAAATAATGAACCAAATATGATAAGTGCTAAAATTGAACACCAAGTTCATCATGCATCAACAATTCAAAATTCAAAGCAATAAACAATTACGAACAAATCATCTGCGAGAAAAGTAATTGGGAATAAATCAACATTAATATCTCAAAAGGAAAACCTTTTGCACCAAAAAAGCATTACTAAATTGAATGCATCAAGTAGAGTAACATCAAAAATTGATTAGCAAAACCCAAACAATCAAATCCAATCTCAAACCTTAACTATTTCATCACCAAAACCACAAGTCATGGGTTTAAATAATAATCTAACAAATAAGACAATCAATATGTTATGAAAAATAAAAATCTAGCAAATAAGGCAATCAATATATGAAAAAATCAATTCACATATAATACCAAACTAATCAAAATTGAACAAAATTATTTTAAACAAAAGGCACCAAACAAATTAAACCTCATGAAAAAACCCCCTTTAGAACTCATAATATATAGCAGTTGAAAATTCACTTACCTAAGGTGAGATAATTTAGAAGCGCGTCCTGATAGTTTTGAAAAAGCACAACCTGCAAAACAACTATTAACTTGAAAACAGAAGTAAGAGGAAGAAACGTATCCAAGGGGTGTTTTTAAAACTTCAAAATAGTACTATGATATAATATAGTTACTATAATAGAATTGTAAAGAGATTATAATCCTAATAGCCCACAGTGGACGAAGTTATCGACAAAATCAAAAAGATCAAAATCGGAGAAATCGCCGAAATTGTTGAAATCAAAGAAATTGCCAAATTCGAACTGATCAAAATCGACAAACTTGAAGAAATAAGCAGAGATAGAATGCTGAGACTGAAACCAGATAAAAGTATAGAACGGGAAGGATGGAAGAATTGAACCTGCTGAGGTTTTTTTTTTTTTTTTCTCTCTCTCTTTCTCTCTCTCTCTCTCTCTTTTTTTTTAATTACAAATTAAGCATTTACCAAACAAAAACGACGCCGTTTTGATAATTTGGGATTTTTATGTTAAAAAAAAAGAAGTGGTGGGACGTCTTTAATTAAACTGCGAAAATATAAATGAATAGTCAAGTTTGTCTCTATTTAAATTTGTAGTTACTAGATAAAATTGGACCGTACGATAAATCTTCTGACAGACGAGATCGCTTAATTGAGACACAAAATCTTAGTCCAAGAGACTTATATTCGGGTGAGTACAATTAGTAGGCTTAATGTAAAGTTTTAGAAATAAATTAACAATAAAAGGAAAAATCTGAAATACAAAAGTTACAGTAATAATAATGTAAAGGACCAATCAAGATAAAAATCATTAATTAATAACTATAACAGTAAAGAAAAGAAAAATCAATCAAACGAATACCTCTTTTTTTCTAAAAACGACAACGAGCTTTGGACCATTTTCTCCAATCACGCCAACCCAACCACCACCACCGCCAACAGCACCGTAAACCTATCAGTCCCTTGTCTTCGAAGCGGTCGATTGATCGACGGCGACCCTGGATATCCTTTATAAGGTCAGTTAAATTTTTTTAAAGGTGAATTTGTACAAATATTTGTATTCTCTGCCGCACCGATGATACTGTGTAAAACTGGAACTGATGCTGATTAGGGCTATACAATTTCGATTTTTCATGATATTTCAGCGTTTGGTCTGTTAGTTTACGTTATCGGGACGTAGTTGCTAATAGTTTCGGGGGAATTTTTTTTCTCGGAAGGATTTTGTAAATAGAGAAATGAAAATGGTATTTTTTTTTCTCGTTTGATTTAGTAGTCTGTTTTTTATTCAAAGTATTGTCATAGGGTCGATGGGTGTAAAATGAGAATGAAGGCCCGAAATGATACTATCTTCCACATAATTTTACTCTGTGTGACAGTTCTACTTCTGAAATCAAAATGTTTTATCTTTCAGAAAATTCCATCACCTGAATATTCCTGAAGATGGAGCACACAGAAATCAGCTTTTATGCTTGTGGCTGCATGGTTTCAGATGATAATTGATGAAAAATCTAAATACCCCTAGATTTGGAGTAGGAAAGTTTGTTATACTCCACCATTTCGATTTTAATCTTGTTTCTCTGAGAGAAAGGGATCCTTTCTGTTACAAGCCTTCCCATGTGATTTGTAGGGCATGGATATTCTAAGCACGTGCAATGGTTATGCTTATGCATGTGGAAGAACCTTTTTTCCATGCTGAAAATCATTGCTGCGTAAAAATTTCAAGTACGATTGGAAGAATCTCAGTGCAAAAGTGGATGTAATATTTCCTGGGAGGTTATATGTTCATAGGAGCTGGTACTGTTTCACTGGTTGCAATATTTTTTGGTTCTTGTCCTGTCTGCAAAAAGAGAGCATGCAGAACGCTGCTAATCTTACCAAGCATAGTTCCTTGAGAATTACACCTCCGCACACTCTTCGTCGTATGGCCCTATGTTCCCAAATAACAACCGGACAGCAGACATCACCAATTGTCTTTCCAGAAAAGCGCAGCCGAGGGAAAGCTTCCGCGTGTCCTGATATCAGTATAAATCACGATGAATCCAAGCCAACGAAGGGGGATGAGCATAAAATTGATATTGGAGATGAGCAGTCTGACTTGTTAGGTTATGATGTGTTTTCAGGCAAATTGGTTTTGGATAAGAGGAAAGTAAGTAAAAAGATTGATGTCCAAACTGAAACTGAATCTGCTGGACAGGATGCTATTGAGGTTAAGTTGACGAGCAAGGCCTTGATTTGGGGTAATCAACTGATTCGGCTTGAAGATGTCATATCAGTGAGTTCTCTTTTTTCTCATCTTCTGTACCGCAAATGAAAAAATGTTAACTTTTACAAACTACTAATTCTTAGAAATTTTAACTTGGCAGGTGTCATATTATTCTGGTCTTAGATACTTCACTGTTCATTCCTATCCTTACAAGAAAGTTTCTGGCCTTTCTTGTTTTGTAAAAACTGGACGAAGCCGAAAGGATTTCCGCTTTATAGCTGCTACCTCCGAAGAAGCCCTTCACTGGGTTGGCGCATTTGCAGATCAGCAGTGTTATGTCAATTGTTTGCCGCATCCTTTAAAACAGGCCTCAGAAATGGTTTCTCATGAATTTTCTACTGAATTTTATATCAAATGTAAAAGTCCCCCGAAAATGCTTGTTATTTTGAATCCTCGGTCTGGGCGGGGTCGCTCAAGTAAAGTTTTTCATGGCGTTGTTGAACCAGTGTTCAAGGTAAGTGGATACAAATATTTCTTATCACAACTCACATCATATGGCACACTGTTTCTGCCTCTTGGTCTAGTAATTTAATTTTAGAAGAAATTCTAAACCGCTGGAGTATGTGTGCTAATAAAGGAAAGTGGCATGTATCTCACCTATTAAGTATATAGGTGAAAGCTTCATTCGAAGACTAAGCTGGTTAACATGAGGACATAACCATGTCACATTGAATATGCCCCCAGCAGATTACTTATGTAGTTTTGTCTGTTATTCATCTTGTTGGGTTTTAGTTGGTGGAACAATAGGGCAAAGCCACTCCATATAGGATGGACAAAACAGATTGCATTTCCCTTTTGTTCCTTGTTCTTCTCTCTAAGTACATATATCTATTAGTTCAGTAATTAACTGGAAACTCCTACATTTAAACATACTAGTACCTAAATTTTTTTGACCTGCTTCAATTCTGGGCTGGAGAAGAAAACTTATCCTCGGTTAATTCAAAGGAATCCAGGCCAAACTTTTCTGTGGGTTCTCTTGCTCCCCCTTGCGCCGAGTTTCTTTGAGTGTTCTTATGACCTGGTCCGCCTGGACACTGTCTAGAGGCGGAATTTCCATATCCTGCGGTGCTTGCTAGTGAAACTTTTCCAATCACAAGGAATCAACCCCCGCACCCCCTCCCTTATCCACAACGCAGATGGAGAGAGAGAGAGTGTGTGTGCTGATCTGGAGTGGTATATCATTCAGATCTAGACTGTGAGCGCGTTTTTGCATTTCGGTTTTCTTCAATGCTTATGTTGGAAGTCTTTGGCGTGTTAAAAGAAAAGAGTGCCTGCTATTCAGGGTATTGCGATGGGCTAGAGCCATTCAACTGAAGCATCTTTGTTCACTTGAAGCCAATATGCCTCTTTTATTTGATCTTTTGCGGAGATCAATGCTAAAATTTTCCATAACAAAATTTTTCATTTCTAACTGAACACTTGTCTCTTCATGTTCTTGCTATTAGGACACCTGAGGAACTTCTAATTAGAACATGACATATGTGTGTTATTTGTTTGGTGCATAAATTTCATTTGTTTGACCTGTTCAATTAGCTAATATCTCACTCTTATAGCACTAGTTAATGTTGCTTTATATGAAACTTGCAGCTGGCTGGATTTCAATTGGAGGTGGTAAAAACAAATTCTGCTGGTCATGCTAGAAAACTTGCAGCAAGTGTTGACTTCAGCACTTGCCCTGATGGTAACTCAATTTTTGATATGGTTAATTATGACTAATCTCATTCATTTGTTTTCCTATCATTTGTTTAGAGTTTATGTGTTGCTCTTTGTTATCATTACCAGGTATCATATGTGTCGGGGGTGATGGCATAGTGAATGAGGTTAGTTTTTTAATGACATTGTAATAATGAGATGCTCATCCTTCTTTCCTTGTTGCCAGTTGATTGCCATGATAATTTCTTACATTCATTTGGCTCTTAGTTTTTGTAGTAGATTGTGTTTCTGTTTAGTGAGTTTTGGTTTCAAGTGTTAGCTTTCTGGTTGTGCTTGAAATGCTGTGCCTTTTGATTTAAGTGAAAACAAATCTTTCCATTGTTAAGGCCTGATAAGTTCTCGAAACTTGCACGCATATATTATTGAACATCATTATGTCAACAGGAACATGAACATGTTGACCAAGATCAACATACCCAGTATATATTCTTCAAAGTCTTGAATTTTTTTAATAGGTTCTTATGAGAAAGATGCTTAGTTTGGGACTCAGGAGTGTATGGTATTCGAAAATTTCCATGCATTGTAACAGATTCATATAGATCCACTTATCCTATCTGCTTTTATCTGAATTTCAGATAGGATTGGATTGCATTTGATCCAGTCTGTCCCCTTAATTTTCGCAATATCAGATCTTTATTGATCTGGTGTTAATACAAGAATGGTCCATATCAGAATTGGATGTTTAATTTGATTACTCTTACTCAGAACCAGGAAAAGAGAAGGAGAAGCAGCTTGAAGCTATTTTACAATGAGCAGCTATGGCATTAAATTGCCGCTGCCAGCAAGACCGCAGCATCGGCTGCTCCTTGCAGTTAGCATTTGCGAGATTTTTGTTTCACTGTATGTGACATGAAGCTATTTTAGGTCTGGGTATGAGTCGGGGTGTGGAAGGGCTTGTATGGATTTTATTTTCATCTTCATTTTGGGTTGTGCTATAAAATATTAAAGTTGTATTGGAAATGCAAAAATAAGTAAAATGGTATATAGTATGGATATGTTAGTTTCAAATTGGGTTTAACAGGAAAATGGTGATTAAGTTGCTATTACAGGTCCTAACTCTTCTACTTTAGGTGGAGTACAAACTACAAACTGCCAGAGTTGGAAACAGCTAGTGATTACACCATGTTTTTCTTAGGCTTTTTAGTATCTTCTAAATAGTGTTTTTTTTTTGTTTTTTGGTTTTATTTTTTTTTTCCTCTTGTTCCTAGCATTATGATGTATTTGTATTGATGTACTAGTTAAAATGCCAAGAAATCCCTGCAATAGAGACTTGGATGCTTGGGCTTAAGGTGCTACTACATTACTCAGCCTGGAATTTGTCTGAACACCAGAGCTGAGGTTCTAGGCTACGAGAACTTCTTTGATATAATTGGATCAAAGTTTTGATCAGACTGTTATTGATCTCAATTTCAATAGGAAATCCTTGTGTTCTTGATCTTCAGAAGCTTAAAGCTAGTGTTACTATGTTGTGTTGGGATACTTAGGGTGAGAGAAGCTTAGATACCTTCGCCAGATTATACTTTCGAGATTATCTATACAATTTGACTGGCTTCTCTGGAGTTTGATGATTAATAGATGACAGGTGTAGTTTCTCGAAGCTTTTAATTCCTGCAACCATACAAACTCTTAAACCTGAAATAAGCAAACTTGAAACCCTCTAGGATGGTTGCTAAAACGTTGATATTTTCTTTGATTTCGATTATAAATGTAGGAGATGTTCTTACAGGCAAAGAATAATTGGTTTGCTTTGTTGATTCTTGACATTATTTATTTATATATAGTTAGGATGCTGAAGGGAGTACAGTTCTTGCATTAACCCCAAAGTTCTTTTTTTTTTGTTTTCTTTTTTTGTTTTGGTTCTAATGATTTCTTAACTAACTGCTTTAAATAAAATTTTGGATCATGCATGGTTTGCATTGAAACCTTTGAATGAGTGACACAACTTTAATTTTCTCAGTGCACCTACCAGTAATTATGAGCAAAACTTATGGCTGCCTGTTAGTTATGTCAACTCGTGTTTTTGCAGTTTAATGTTATGACTAGAATGTGCCCATAAGTTAAGATTTTCAAATTTTATGTTATTGATGGGTGATAGGCTGTGGAGCAAAAATTCTGTATCGGTCTTTAGGAATCAATTATGTAGAAGGTAACTGTGATGGTGCATGAATGTTTCCTTACTTCTAACGCGGTGTTTTTCTTACCTTATAAAAGGTAAAAAAGGTGGAATCCTTTTAGATATTGTCTTCTCAAATAATGCTGAATTGCTATGAACCTTCAAATGGCATCCAATATTGTGCACTTCTCAAGTTGTTTCTGTTGCTTTCCAATAACACTCTGAATTCATTGATTTGATTTCTTAAAATCCTACTGTGAGTAATGCATTCGTAACATTTTGTGGGTGTTGAAGATGTCCAAATGGCTTTGGCCGCTGAACTGCCGTGTTGCTATTTGCTTCATGTACTTCAATTTAATGAAAAGTACCTCGCATACATAGAGTAACATCCTTGCAAGGAAATTTTTGTTCGTTTATTATGATTGGTTCTGTATTTACTAGGCAGCATGCTGTGTTTGTCAAATATCACGTGTGGATCACCTCATTAAATTTTTTGCATAGTAGAATAACAATTTGTTGGTTGACATTGTTCTTGGTGTCTTTCTGAGTTGCAGGTTTTGAATGGATTACTTAGTCGAGACAATCAAAAAGAAGCAATTTCCATTCCTATTGGTATTATTCCTGCTGGTTCTGATAATTCTTTGGTGTGGACTGTCCTTGGAGTAAGGGACCCATTATCTGCTGCGATAGCTATAGTGAAGGTACCTTGTTTAAGTTGATGTAGCTTGATAATAAAAGCCAAGTATAATAAGTATTCTCTCTTTGGGAGGGAGGGGGAAGGGAAGGATTGCTCCCGTCCAGGCTTTAACCCCAACCTCCTGGTTACTATCGTCACCCTTACCATCCGATCCAACTCTCCCACCTAGTAATAAGTATCTTTTGCTTAATGCTTTACCTTTTCCCTTCTGGAAATATTCCAGGATTTCTGAGGTGCTCTTGTTATCACTATCATTTTACATCTCCATCACTTTGTTGGTTCTTGCATTTCCCTAGCTTTTTGGTTTTTGTTAACCTGCTCTAGATGTGCTGCATTAAGACATATCCTTGGCTGCTTCTCCTCTGATTCTTTTCCTTTTATATTCTTTAACAGATACAGGGTTTAATAGGATGGTTTTACTTAGAATCTTGCAGCAATTTATTTTTGCCTTCATGCATTCTCACTTATTCATTTTTCCTCCGGAAGCATTTTAGGATTTCTGAGGTGCACCCCTTTTTATCATAATCATATTACATATCTATCACTTTGTCTATCTTTGCATTCGCCAAGCTTTTTAGATTGTGATGACCTGCTCTAGGTGCTTCATGAAGACATACCCTTGGCTTCTTTTCTGCATTTATCTGTTTCTTTTGGTTTCTTTTTATTTTATTTTATCATTTTTTATATATATATTTTTTCTTTTTATCTTCTTATTTGATATGAGGCTTTGTAGGATGGTTTTACTTGGAATCTTGCTGTAATTTAGTTTTGGGAAACATGTATTAGAATTACGTTGGAGTCTTGTTAGTGTGCAGTTGTGAACAGCTCCTGTGGGCGAGTTAGACGTATTTCTTACAAGCTTTTTTCCTCCCCTTTTTTATGGCTTACGATGTTGACGATCGGAGAGAAAAGCTAATTAGTAAACAACAATAACAACTAATCATTGGTCTTGCTATGTGGCTTCATTGTGGATTTAGTATATTGCCCTCCTTCATAGCGGCATTCCCAGAATTGCTTCCGTTTTTGTGCATTCATCGCTTTTTCTATTTAGTTAAGTGAGCATGCACATTCATCATTTTTGCTTTGTTTTGTTCCCTCTATTTGCAAATTGTTCAAAACTCACGCATAAAAATCAATCTTATGATGGGGCTAAAATTCCTTTTAATTTACACAGGGAGGGCTTACTGCTACGGATGTTTTTGCTGTTGAGTGGATTCAAAGTGGCGTTATCCACTTTGGGACAACTGTAACGTACTTTGGTTTTGTCAGTGATGGTAACTTGATACTGCCTTTTCGGTTTGAAGTCAGCTTCTAATTTTGAACATAATTTTCGGTTACAAACATGAGCATGGTTTTTGAAATTGATGCACTCACAGTTGTGTTACATGCAATATGCTTTAGTGAGCATTTCTGTTTGGAGGTCAAGCTATCCTATGATCTAGATTAAAAATTTAGCATTTTGTTTATTATTATCTTTTTAATTTTATTTTTTTCCCTGGGAAAAAAAGGGATATTTTCTGGATTGGAGGTTTCAAGGTTGTCTTTTAGGGGCTGTTTTCGATTTGTTTCAAATTTTCAAAGCATAAATGGGGCTACTAAATTTCTGAAAGGCATCACTGGTTCCCTTAGGAATTTATGAGAGTATAGGAAGGGTTATAACATACTGAATTATTCATTTGGTGCATTTTGCGGAAAATAAGAAAATGAGAAAAACCCGATTTTAGGGGTTTTTTTCGATTTATTTCATATTCTCAAAGCATAAATCGGCTACTATACTTCTGAAAGGCATCACTAGTTCCCAAAATATAGATCTGCATCAAAATATCTTAGACTACAGTGATGATGGCTCCTCAAACTTTTGTTCCTCCGGAGTCCCATCAGCGTTGCGAAAAGTGTCCTTGGCTGACATGTAATTTTCTAGGGTATATGGAGCTTGATCCTTTGTGACATTTTCTAGGCATATTATTTAGTTTAAATTTAAAAATAAGAATGAGAAAAATTTTGAAGGGTTAAAGTAGTCATTAGCTTAGTAATGAATTAGTAAAATGAATGTTTTGTCCTCAATAGGAATTTTATAAGTTTAATGCCTTTTTCGTGAAAGGAAATTTGTGGAAGGCCCTTAATCAGAATTTGTTACGAAGAATTTGAAATTGGGTAGGATTTTCGAAGAATGCTGGGATGTGTTGCTCTTCTTTTTTTTTATTTTAACCTTTTTTTTTTTTTTTTGGTTGTTTTCTTCCCCTTCTTCTTTTTGTTGCTCTATTAGGTAGATGGTTAAATTAGGCTTTACCTTTCCTCTGAAAATATCTCCAGAACTTTTTTGAGATTATTCTGACTTCAGATAATGGGACCATGAAAGGTTCACCCTGCATTTAGAGACATAGACAGCAGTCCTAAAATTGATGACAGAATTTGAAATTCTTATTGTGGTTTGGCCATATGCATTGGAGACCTGTGGATGCCCAGTTAGAAGGTTAGAAACTATAGAATCACTAACTTAAATACGAGGGGTAGCATAGATCTTATGAGATTTGGAAGAAAACTATAAAAATGACTTTTTTGCATTCCATATAGCCAAACCCACGTAGTGTGGAAAAGGGCTGCTTGTTACTTTTTCCCCTATAAATGAACATAAGAGCTGATTAGGGTAACCGTTGTTTTTGGGACTAACTCTGTATCTCTTCTCTCCTAATATTTTGCCTTCTGTGTCTTTGATGCTCCTAGAAATAGGTGAGTACATTTCTCGCTTTATGAGCCTGAAGATGTTTTCTTGGTCATCTTTGATTTCTTTATAGTGAAATATAGGGAAAGTTACTGCATTTGGATTTGGATGAAAGTTATCGACTGTAGTAGTTGTAGAATTTTCCTTTGTTTCTGCATGTGTTTTATTGAGTTGATTCTGGTCCTCCTTACTGGGTGTCATAAATTTTGGTAAAAAAGTTTTTGTTGGCCTTGAGACCAATTCTTTGAATCTGATTCAATTCTTCTCTCCCCCCCCCCAACCCCCAATAGTTTTGGAGCTTTCTGAGAGGTACCAGAAGCGTTTTGGTCCACTGCGGTACTTTGTCGCTGGTTTTCTCAAGTTCTTTTGCTTGCCGAAGTACAACTTTGAAGTGGAGTACTTGCCGGCATCAGTAGAAGTGCATAAAAGCTTGGCTGACCAGGATGTAATTGATATGGCTGACTTATATACAGACATCATGAGGAGATCAAGCAAGGAGGGTCTTCCTAGAGCTTCTAGCTTGTCAAGCATTGATTCAATAATGTCCCCAAGTAGGATGTCTGGAGTGGACATGGATACTACTTGCAGCAACACTGAGCCATCTGAGTATGTGCGTGCAATCGATTCCAAATCTAAACGTCTCTCGGCTGGAAGAAGTAATATGACAGCTGAACCTGAAGTTATCCATCCCCAGTTACCTCTAACTTCAACTCCAGTTTGGCCTAGAACAAGGTCCAAGTCAAGGAATGACAAGGGCTGGACAGGACTGAGTGCTTCAAATGATGTGACAAGGTCTTCATGGGCAAATACTACAACAAATGATAAAGAAGACATTTCATCTACATTGTCTGATCCTGGTCCAATCTGGGATGCTGAGCCAAGATGGGATTCTGAACCCGGCTGGGATCAGGAGAATCCTATTGAGTTGACAGGGCAAGCGGATGATACAGAGGTTTCTCTAAAGAAGCCAACTGCTCCTGTAGCTGAGGAGAAATGGATGGTTAAAAAGGGTCATTTTCTTGGTATCCTTGTCTGCAACCATTCCTGTAAAACTGTTCAAAGTTTAAGTTCACAGGTGGTTGCACCAAAAGCTGAACATGATGACAACACATTGGATCTCTTGTTAGTTCATGGAAGGGGACGGTTAAGGTTGATCAGATTCTTCTTACAGCTGCAAATGGGTAGACACCTGTCCCTGCCTTATGTTGAATATATTAAGGTATGCAGCAATTTTTTCCCCCCAAAAATCTTCTGCTTTATTATAGAAATCTTATTGATTTATTCTCCTAGCATGCCGTTATCTTAGAGCTTCAAGGACATCAACTTGAATATGTGAAAATTCTAATAGTATTTTTGTGTGCAACTGGAGAATTCAGAGAATCGAATTAAGAAGGAAAAATTTAGGATCGTAATCTCCGAAGAGAATAAAGTTTTGTTACTAGGCTTGTTTATATGAAGTTTGTTAATGCTTTTGTCTGTTAGAATGTGAGTAAATGTCTTACATGACTCTGCACTTGCGGGTGCCCGGAGTTTTGTTCAAAAGATTAGAGATTGGAGTTAATTGTGAGGAAGTTCTTAGTATTCCAGTCTTCCGCAGCTTAATCAGTCATTCTGAAGCACATAATTATTATTATTATTATTATTATATAATAATAATAATAATAATAATAATAATAATAATTATTATTATTATTATTTATTTTTGGATGCTATTGTTGTGGGATAAAGATGTGAAACCTCTATTTTTATGCATGCGTGGATAATATTATTCTTGTGCCAGTCGATTGTGTTCTGTTTACTTACTAACGAAGAGTAAATGATTTAAAATTAAGCCACTTGTCTTTTAATACGCATATTGTCTATGGCCCTCAGGTTTGACGATTTCGATAAGATATGGTGTAGACCTACATCTCTAAGATGTTTGCACATACTGTATAAAGGAACTTTAATTTGATTGAACCGAAACTTCTCACCATTTTAATTGATATCCTTGCTACTAATCTATGCCATGAGTTGAATCAGATTCTTAATTTTGCTTTTTCTTTCTATGTTGCTCTACTTGCACTAACTCTAAGATAGAACTGTACTTGTTTCCACCCTCCCAGGAAAATTCAAATGAGCAATTCCTTGCCTGAGGAATTTATATTTTTCTATTGTCTATTTAAAAATATATGCGCATATGAGAAATTTTCTGTGCTTCTATGGACTCGTATTCTACTTTTCTGGAGATGGACAAATGATAAGTTAAAAGTCACTTCCCCACCAAATAATAATAATAATAATAATAATAATAATAATAATAATAATAATAATAATAGTGAGATAAGATTTTCACTGACCCTTTACTTCGCTTCTTATGTTTTTCCTTCTGACAAGGGTTCTGCTGTATGAGTGTCACAGTCCCTTGTTCAACTTGTGCTGTGTATTTTTCCAATTTTGACATGGATAGTGTGTGTTTCACGATCCATTGGTTCAATTGCAATCTGACATTGATTCATCTGTATCATTGTCTGTGCAAGGATTTGTAGGTTAGGTGGGCATGTTATCTTATATTTCTATTGTAGGCTGTTTTGGATCTAAAGTTTATAACCAATTAAAATGGTGTATTGGATTTTGACATGGATTTAGTTGTATCATATCACTCTATAAAACTATAAAATTGGGAAGAGTAAGTTGTCTCTACTGTGTTTTGGGAGAAAGTTTGTGGCCATTTAAGCCTAAAGAACACAGCCTTAAATTTCTACGGGACACTGTTTTGTTTTTTGAACTTATGACTTGGGTTACATGACAATAGCTCCCATTATTGTACCTTGGTGCCTTGAATGTTTTTGTTTGCTTTTAAACTGGAATTTTGAGTTGTGCAGGTAAAATCAGTGAAGGTGAAACCGGGAAAGCACTCACATAAGGGATGTGGTATTGATGGTGAACTGTTCACTGTAAATGGGCAGGTCGTATGTGCTTTGCTTCCAGATCAGTGCAGGCTTATTGGCCGCTCACCCTGTAGCAAGTAATACTAAGGCATAGCTGCTGCATCTCACCTCGTAGTGATTTGTACATGGGCAATACAGCAGCAATGCATTTGAGTCCTGGCTGATGAATACGACAGCTTTGACAGGCCTTGGGAAGACAACAGCTGTCCATACAGTCAAGGCCTCCCTTTCTTCTGGTTGTCCCTTTTTGCAACATTCAGATCCTTGTATATTTATTTATTTTCTTTGTGAACCTTTTCTTTTGTTTTATGTATGCTTCCATGCTTCAGCTAACTATGGCTTAAATAGAGGTTATGTTGTAGTATTGAATTCATTCTTCCTGTTGTAAAGCATGTTGTTGAGGAGTGTCCAGAGTTCATGTTGGACTTTTTCTATCATCCTCCCAATATATATATATATATATATATATATATATATATATATATATATATATATATATATATATATATGAATGTAAATTTTCTTTCTGTCGCTGGATATAGATTCAATTCTTAATACTTGTCTCAAAATGATTGTAAGCGCAAAATGCACTTGGATAAAAGGGTGTACGTGTTTCCCACCTAATCTGAGTGCAAGGCTGCAAGCTGATGAGCTAGATCCGTCGTTTCTTGTGAGACCGCGAAAGACGTGTTTTCAAAGTTGAGAATGCAGTGGATATCGTATACGGTGATCAACGACCGAGCAACAAGAATTACCTCCGTTATAATTATTTGCTGCTTGAAGAATATATTGTTTTCAAAGTTGAGAATGCAGTGGATGCTCCGTTATAATTATTTGCTGCTTTTTTTTTTTGGGGGTGGTGTTGTTGGTTGTAGAAAGTTACAGTGGTTGTTTTGAAAATGGGACGGAAACAGGGACGGAAACAAACCTAAATTTCGAGATAAGGGGGAATCCCCACTGATGGAAATGGACTCAATTCCGGCGTCTGGGTCGGAGGTAGCACATGAGCAGGTCCAAAAGAATCCGAATGTGGACGGTTCAAACAGAACCACAACACCCTTGATGTCTTACAAAGAACGATTAGCCGGAACTCGAAAGAAGAAAGAGACTCCTCCTATTGACTTAATCCCGGGCGACATTATAATGCACAGAGTCAAAGGGGGCGGCCAATTGTTATTCTCTGAGAAGCTCAAGCAGGCTTTCAATCTTGAATGGGAGCACACGGTGGTAGTGAAACTGTTGGATGACGAGCTTGGGTACAACAAACTCTACAAACTAGCCCGTGATGTGTGGTGTGAGAAGGAAGATTTCAAGATAATAAACCTTAAATATGGCTTCTGGGGAGTCCAATTTACAAACTCAATAGACGAAGAGAAAGCTCTGCTTGGGGGATCTTGGTTCGTTGGAGGAGCATGTCTCTCTGTCCAACGGTGGACTCCTGAATTCAGGGCAGCCACGGCCAAGGTTTCAAAGATTGTGACATGGATTAGATTGTCTGATCTACCGTTACAATATTATCATGAGCTGTCCCTTTGCTCAATTGGAGATGTTGTGGGAAGAACTATTAAGTTTGACAGCAATACTTTGAATGCGGAAAGGGGCCTATTCGCTCATTGAAATGGATGTGGGCGAGCCATTGGTTCCAAGCTTCAACATTGACAACTGGGTTCAAACAGTAGAATATGAAAGTCTCACAAACATCTGCTATTGCTGCGGGAAAATAGGACACAATATTTCAATCTGTCCTGAGAATCCTACAAATCTGATGTCGTTTCCGACGAGTAATTCTGATGGTTCGAGTGGCCAGAAAGATCCAACAAAAGCGATAGAGGCAACGGAGGAAGTGAAAACAGGTCTAGGCCCATGGATGGTAGCTCAAAGGAAGGTTGGTAGATCCGTCCGACAGCCGGAGCAAAATTCAGGCCAACGACCAATCCAAGAAACGGCAAAAGTCAACGGCTCGAGGTTCCAAGATTTACCAACGGACACTGACGGAGAAGAGATAGCAGCAGTACTACCAACGGTTACACCACAACGGTCTAACAACATAGGTCATAATTCAGGTAAAGTCCAAGTCCAACCAGAACCTAAACATAAGAATAAGCTAGTCAAAGGTCAAGTTCAGATAAAGCCCAGTCCTAAGGATAAGCCCAGTACATCCAAAAAGCCCATTAAACCTAACAACAATGTCCATAATGTATTTGTCACGTTATGACCAGAAACAGAGTTGCAGATTTCAGATTTCAGAAGGAAGGGGAAAGAATTGAGGAGCAAAGGAGAAAGTGGATTCAGAAAAAAGAAACTGGGGGAGGCGGCTAGGGTTTAGGATAAGAGTGAGATGAGATCTTTCATTAACATTTCATGCCCTCATCCGGAGCATTCGTACAGCATATATAAGGATTCCACCTCACCACAACTACTGCAATTAGGTAATTAAAAGTGAACAAGTAAAAAGAACAAAAATGCAGCAGCAACGGTAATTCCAGCTAAGTTCTTTTGTCCTCATGCTTAAGGGAAGCTTCGCAGCAACTTCCTCTGACTTCATCCCCAATTTTCCTGATACGACGTCGCATGCTCGCCCTAATTGAACCTCCAATTGACCCATCAACTGAACCCGGTTTGCAAGGACCCGACTCGTGACATTCCCCTCTGCTTAAGAAGAAGCTTGTCCTCAAGCTTTAAAATTTGGAAACTGCTTTGCAATGAAATCCTTGTCTTCCCAGGAGGCATCTTCCAACTCCAAATCCTTCCATTTAATGAGCCATTGTATCACCGGTTGTTGATTTCGCTTGATGCTCCTTCGTTACAACACTATTTCTGGTTTTAAGGTGTTCTCATCTTGGAGATCAAGGCTTGGGGGAGCTGTGGAGCTCACCGGTCGGTTGCCAACGTGTTTCTTAAGGAGGGAGACATGAAAAATAGGGTGGATTTGGGAATGGTCAGGCATTTTGAGGCGATACGCGACACTACCGATCTTCTCCAGGACTTCATAAGGTCCAAAGAACCTGTGCATCAATTTGAGGGTGTTCCTGATCTCTGCTGTTTGCTGCCAGTATGGTTGCAGTTTCAAATATACCCAGTCCCCTACATTCAGAATTCGCTCAGTCCGGTTTCTGTCGGCATACAACTTCATGCGAGCTTGAGCTTTACTGAGTTGTTCCTGGAGAATTCGAGAAATTAACTGCCTTTGCGCTAGCAGATCCTCAGCTGCTGGCACGATCACATCCTCATAAGGACCCAAAGGGACGTGTACCGGCTTACATCCGTACAGTGCTTCGTAGGGGGTCATGTTTATGCTGCTGTGATGGGTGGTATTATACCACCATTCGGCTAAAGGCAACTAGAAACACCAAGTGGAAGGTTTGTTACTTGCAAAGCATCGAAGATATGTTTCCAGACATTGGTTCACTCGCTCTGTCTGGCCGTCGGTTTGAGGATGATACGAAGTGCTCATACATAATTGAACCTTCAGTAACTTGAACAATTCCTGCCAAAACAGACTGGTGAAGATTTTATCTCGGTCGCTCACTATGGATTCCAGAAGACCATGTAGTTTATACACTTCCTTGAGAAAAAGTTCTGCAATGGTTGTTGCTGAAAACGGGTGAGATAGCGCAAAGAAATGGCTATACTTGGTGAGTCGATCTACCACTACTAGGATTGTGTCATTTCCTTGCACTGAGATGGGTAACCTTTCGATAAAATCCATGCTTATGTGTCTCCAAGCCTGTTGCGGTATGCTTAATGGTTGCAAAAGTCCGGGATATGAGACATGTTCGCTCTTGCTTCTCTGGCAGACTTCGCAACACCTTACCACTTCTTCTACATCGGATTTTAGCGTCGGCCATTAAAAGAGGGAATTCACCCGCTTGAAGGTGGCAGCTTGTCCTGAGTGACCCCCCAAAGACGAGGAATGCATGGTTTCCATGACCTTCTGTCGAACGCCGTTAGAGCTGCCAAAGTATATTTTATCCCCTTTTTCCAATATCCCCCTGATGAACTGATAGTTGGAGGTCTCATCCTGATCCAGAGTTGTTTTTGCTATCAATTCCTGGGCCATTGCATCGTTCTGATAACTCATCTCGACTTCGTCCATCCACTTTGGCTGCACTTTAGTCACAGCCTTGCTTGTTAACTCTTCCTTCCCTGGTTCATGCAACCTGGAAAGGGAATCAGCCACCCGGTTTTCGCTCCCTTTTTTGTAACAAATTTCGTAGTTAAGCCCTAAGAGCCGAGCTAGCCACTTGTGTTGCATGCTGGTTGTTAATTTCTGTTCTAGAAGGTGCTTCAAGGCTTGGTGATCAGTTCTTAGAACAAAGTGGTGCCCTTCTACATAGTGTTTCCACTTGGTCACAGCCATAACCACCGCGAGCAGCTCTTTCTCATACACTGAAAGTCCTTGGTTCCTCGGGCTAAACGCCTTACTCAGAAATGCAATGGGGTGGTTCTCTTGCATCAAAACAGCCCCCATACCCTGATTACAGGCATCGGTTTCGATTACGGACGGTTTTGAGAAATCCGGAAGTCTTAGTACCGGAGCTGAGGTTATAGCCGCTTTAAGTCGCTCAAAGGCTTGGTCTGCTTCAACACTCCACTGGAACCCATCTTTCTTGAGGAGTTTTGTGAGCGGCTTCCCGATCGTCCCGTAATCCTTGATGAATCTGCGGTAATAGCCTGTGAGACCCAAGAAACCTCTTAGCTCCTTTACCGTTTGTGGTGTCGGCCATTCTACTATGCACGAGATCTTCTCTTGATCCATGCTCACTCCTGCAGCCGAGATTACATGACCGAGATATGCTATGTTCTCTCTGGCGAACAAGCATTTTGACATCTTCGCATATAATTGATTCTCATACAAGATGTGGAGAACCTGTTTAAGGTGTTCCATATGCGCCTCCCAAGTAGAACTATACACCAAGATGTCATCGAAGAAGACTAAGATGCACTTCCTGATCAATTCCTTGAAAAGGCGATTCATCAATGACTGGAAGGTGGCTGGGGCGTTAGTGAGCCCGAACGGCATCACGAGAAACTCGTAGTGGCCGTGATGCGTTTGAAAGGCCGTCTTAGGGATGTCTTCCTTCCGCATTCGAATCTGGAAATACCCGGATCTCAAGTCAAGCTTTGAATAATAACATGAACCTTCTAATTCATCCAGCAACTCCTCTATCACAGGAATAGGATAACGGTCTTTAATTGTCAGCTCATTCAACCGCCTGTAATCGACACAGAACCTCCACTCTCCATCCTTCTTTTTAACTAGAAGTACAGGAGAAGAATAAGGACTTGAGCTGTATTGAATGATCTTGTTTTCCAGCATTTCGGCCACCTGTTTCTCTATTTCATCCTTGTGGGAATGAGGGTATCGATACGGTTTCACCTTGAAGGGCTGGGCTCCCAGCTTCAATTCTATACAATGCTCGATTTCTCTTTCAGGTGGCATG